ATCCATCATCTTTGCTCAACGCGAACAATGAAGAGAATTCAAAGAAAAGTTCTCAATGAAACGTTGTTCTACATGATTGACGTGATGCTTACAAGAGATGGTAGTTAGATGAACATAGCATCACCTGTTCACCTGCATTCTTTTACAATGTATCTGAAAAGGTATAAGTTCTTTCTAGTTGCGCATCATTTGACAGCTTAATCGGAAAAGCTGGTGACGACGTAGAGTTTTTACAATGTCACCTTGTTCCAAACAGTTGAAACTCTCCACGGTATTTAAATCCCATCAGTAGAGCTTGATCGGCCGTCACCTATGACCGTGCAGTTCCAACCTGCGTTCTAAAAAACGTATGCATGTTAGTCCACAATCAGTTAATCACCCTTACATATCTTAAAATGCACCCTACACATACACTAAATTATTGGACTTCAAAGTGGATGTCATAGTGTACCCTACCCTTATTAATATATGACATGCGATATCTTGATCAAGTGCTAAATCAGAGGAAGCAGGCATTGCTTACTACACTGCCTCAGTTAATCCTGCGTGGCACCCTTGGTATAAAATAAACCCAATTGGTTTCGAATAACGGCAAGGTAGTTACCATAGTTCTGGAGTAGAGAAGCCACTACAATTTAATTTCACAGCTGTTATTGAATTTAAATTTGACTCGGAATGGTGAATAAATCAGCAGCTATCTTTGAACAAGCTTCATAGTCTAAATTGAAAATGAATCATTTCAGGCTGCATGATATAAGTTAGTCGGTATACTGAATAGTTGAATAAAGGGGATCACTTTAGATCTCCCAATGTAAGTTGACACATTTTGCCTGCCTTTATCAATTCACTGGTTTATGGTAGCCCCGAGAAACATTCCGGAAGCAGACTGTGTCCAGTGTAAGTTTCTATGGTCGCACCATCACTTTTTCATTTGATCTTCCATACTAATTTCTGCTCGAGAACGAGTTATTGACTCTTTATTTACAGGAAAAACGTCATGGAGCATTTACTCTTGTTACCAGTGTGGCATTTGTCTAAGCTCTGGTCTCCCTTATTTACACTTAGGTCATTTGATCTTATGAATTGGCCCAAGATGTTTATGAAAAGTTTTATAGATTTCTAATCGATTCTCATTTTAAATCGAGTGTGAACAAAAAGACTGTGGCGGTGTCAAGAAAGTCTTAGGTGCAGCAAACAATAAACTTTCAGTGGTTGTCTGTGTATGCATGGTAAGTTTATTATCCTGAACACATTTTGAATGAATGTTTCCGCGAAAGTAAACCGCAAATTAGCAAGAAATATGCACTTCACAATATAGCAAGTTGAAGCTGCTGAAGGTCTACTTAGTGAAGACAAAAATTATTCAACCGGTGAGAATCCTACTGGGAATACGGCTTTTAATACGAATTGGCAAATGTTTTAATGTAAGGCGGTGAGACTGAATTGTATCCTTCTTACAAAGAGTCAGTTTTATCATTAGAATGCTATCATGCACTCCTTACAAACAAAACAGCACGTAGAGATTGCAACTTGTTAAAGCTCTTTAAAGCTCATCCATTGCTTCATCGGATGTCTCTGCTAACCTTATTTTAAATTTGGTCGCACACAAAGTCAATTCGATTTTATGGTAATTAGGTCAACAGGTTTGGTCAAATAAAGTAGTCGATAAAATGGAGAATATTAGAAGGGAATGTAAATAATTTTTGAACAATACTGAGCAATACTGTGCCGGCCAAACGGTAGGCCAAGTAAGATTATCGCGATAAATTAGTTGCAGAAAATAGACTGTCAGACTCAGAGCTACAACAGTGACACTATAAAGTGCCCACAGAAGTAGAACATCGATCTAAATGGACTCGATTCCTAGTAAAACCAGTGAAGCATTTTTTGCTCCATGAAAGTGCCCTGCTAACCAGAGTGATGTCCATGTCTACTAAAACCTCTGAAAGTTTTAAAGTTTTGTTAGTGGCGACTCGCAAGAATGTAACTTATCTCAAAGCGGGAACTTAAGTTAACTGCACTGATACAACGACCCTTGTAAGGATGATGAAACGATCATAAAGCTCACCTCTGTCCTGGCCACGTTTGTGATTCTCAAAGTGACCGTAATCAACCAGCTTTCATTAGTCTTACTTCGGGCTTTGGAATCGGCTTGGAAATGTGTCAAGTTACACAGTAAGTGCAAACAAAGATTGTAGGTGGGCTACGCAACTTGTTAACTGTCTGGATTGTAAAGTAAGGATCTGAACTCACAATCGCTACCTCGGTAATGACTATACTTTGATAAATGTCAAAATTTTCTGGCATTATTCGTCAGAAAAATTTCTTCTCTCAGTTATTTGGGCAGATGAATGAAATAAATCACTCTTCGGTAATGTTTTACTCTTAATGTGATGAAGTGCTTGAGACACCTGGATAGTTCAACGAGGATTCTGGCTATTTTTCAGGCTGATGTTGGAGCCTAGTCCAGTCACCGTTTTCCAGAGGCTTGACTGGCACTTAAGAAGGCACTTTTCTATATGTTGTGCACATTCTCGAGCAACGAGATTCTGAAGCAAACCATCTCTGTGTTCATTGTGTATAATATTTTCTAAACCAGTGTGTCACATAAAATGTTCCAGGTTTCAGTTGGACTTTAACAAAATTAAATTAAATCAAATTAATTGAACAGTTGACCTGTCTCTCACACATGCCTATAAATGATGGGTTGCCTTACAACACTTTTATTTATGGACTTAAAATTCAGCTACTAACCGACTGGAGCTAATTCGTAAGCCCTTAGTGAGCTGTCAACGTAAACTCCTTTATATATGCAATTAGGCTTGTTTTCGTATGATACGTTCAGTTCCACACCAGTCTTAAACTGATCTGAATCTCTTGATGATGATGCTCTTGAGTTCTTTTATTTGGCTAAAGCATGGTAACTGATGTCTTCTTATAACTAAGCTGCGCTTACCCTTGACTGCCTACATTGCATCAAGACTTGTTTGTCCATAATAACGTTTTCTTGCATAGGACGTGCATTTTGGCACCTATGTGACAATTTGGTGACCTGACTAATTCATATTCCATACAGTTTACTTAGATATAGACAATTGTGTTAATGTGAAATTCCCAATCGTGACAGTCCGGAGTAATAACTACGTGGTCACTTGATTTCAACATTATTTGCCAATCAAGCATAAACAAATGTTCACGACTGACTGCGCTGAAATGAAACTGTTAATTTTAGGCCATGACGGTATTGGTTAGGCACAAAACTGCATCTCCCGAAATCCAATTTGAAGAACATAGCTTGCCAGCTATTTGCTTTCCTGATGAAAGCAAATGGGCGTCGTGATTTAATTTAATTTAACGGGAATGCAGCTGTTATCTTGGTGTTATCTGATACTTGTGGGTTGCTTTCAGGAAGCGGATGTGCATGCGATCAATGCATTTTATAGGATTATAAAAGTGAAGTATTTTTGCGTCATTGTATTGCAGTAAGCTGAGTCCATGGATATTTCGCACGTGTTCAGGCTACCAGAAAGTAGAGACCTCTGGTTTACCCAACACCAGTTTCGTAGAAGCTGATGAATTTAAAAAAAATAGAATCTTTCAACTGTTTTAAAGACTTCGGTTCTAAAACTAGCATAGCGATAACGTGCTCCTACCGTCTTCAACCGCGCTTGTTTTGCTTAGTTTCATAAGGAAAATTACAGCTTAATATAAGCCCTCCTTCCTCTATAGCTCAACCAAATTTATCTGATTATTATTCCTATTTTTATTCTTCACGAATGAGGTTTCGTTTCATTTATATCAAATTTTAATTAATAAATATTCATGGCCTCTTTGCTTGCTTTGGAAGGTACCTGGCAGTTATAAGCTGTATTGGTTTTCAATGTAAATTCTTTGTTGACGGGATTTTGTTGAATCCCAACGACCATATTGGCGTCACGTTTGAAATGTCACCAACATCATTGATTAAATGATATCAGTGTTCAACACTGATGCTTTTTTAGCGTGAAATCATGATTTCTTCGAATGACTTATTGCGAAAGAAATAATGAAGATGGATTGGAAAGGGACTTAGTGCTAGCTTATGAGAATCCTTCCAAGGTGTCTACACCTTCAGACACTCATTCTGGTGATCTGGATAGAAGTGACAACAAAAGTGCCACTGACGTTGATCAAAAGCCCAATCTTGCATTTTCTTTAACCAGGCACAGTGCGGATTAAGTGATCATTATTCTGGAAGGCAAGTTGCACTAACAGGACACAAAAGTTTCGTAATCACTACACTATACCTTTGTCGGATCAAGATTTGCCCACCTCTCTGCTTCTGCCATTCTGAACTGAGCACAAAAAAGCATTCTCTTTGGCATATCTTGGTTCTGCAAACGCAAACATTGCCTAACAAACGCATCTTTTAGTGTCTGACACATTGTAAAATGCAAGTTTCCGTTGCACAACCGAAAATTCGCTTTCTAATTTCTTCGTTATGGAATTTCAGATACCAAACTTTACGAAATCTGGTCTTGAAATAACAAGTACCGGCCACCTTAAGACGTCTCAGTTCCGCTGCTTCAACAGATCAAGGCTTATAGCCATAAAAAAGCAGCCCGCATTGTAGCCTTATAAACACATCCCTTGAGATTCAGAGATATGTAGTCCTGACGCCATAGTTGCCTCAAATAAGCAAACACAGATCTAGTCTTTTAGTTCGTGCATTGATCCCATTTGTCAAGCAACAACTAGAAGTAGTACAATTTTCAAGATACGTAAAACGTTGAAAGGGATTATTTAATGTTTTCTTTGAGCTTCAACTTCTGAAGTCTATGTGTTAGCTGTAACAACGTTCGAAGTATGGCGCATCAATTCATCGACAAAACTCGCTTTGGATACTAAATGCTGAATGTTGAATGGTGCTTATAATGATTCTACCAGGACAATTAACATTTTCACCTAGCACTGTAGGTTACCCACACCGGTGCGATTATTTTGGTTTTATGATTCTCCAATGTGACAAGTGGAATATATTATTGAAATGCAAATATATGTACAGTAAAATTTTCTGAAAATACGGGGAATTTTGTTCGTGGTGGATAAAAGAAATAAGCTCGCAAAGCAAAAACAAATGAGAAATAAGAGTAAATACAGTATTTTTGGGGTACAGGAAGACGAGCTACTCCTATTCTGTAACCAGCTTTCACATAGTACTACAGCCAGACACTTTCTTTTTTCTCCGGAGTGCTGACCGTGTGGCGGCCTCAAATACCTCTTTGACACCCTCCTGATGTTTCGCTGTGAATTGCAAACAGATGAGGAGAAAACGCACTACAAACCAGAGCATTCCAGGTAGGCCTCTGCTCCAATTTCACTAGCCATTGCGCGTCCCTGCTCATATTTTACTGGTTCTTGCTTCATACGTTGCAGGCTGATCTTGGTGGGAACATCATTACGCAAGTCTTTTTTTAACCCAACGAGAATAATTGGGACGCTCTCGCAAAAATAGCGCACCTAAAACAGAAAAAACAACTAGTAAGTTTGGACAAAACCTATCACATTCACCCCAATCAATGAGATCTTTTCGCACCCTTTTAGAATGTATATAAAGATCAACTGCATGTGTTTACTGAAACTGGAAGGCACACCTTACCAAGCACATTGTTTGACCATTTTATTGAACGCTACTAGCAACCTAGTGAAGCTATGAAAAATCAAATTATAAATAACAAAAAACTTGCTACGTGCATAATTTGGAAAATTTCAAACATTACTTTAACTCATCGTGAAGCGTTACTATCCACTGTGCCTCTTAAACGAGCTTTTCACCTTTAAAAACCATCAAGTGGTGATATAGCTTGTGTATAAGACGCAAAGCAAAAAGGTACGTATGGTTTTTCCAGTGCAGAAACCTTACTTATTGATACCCCTAGCGGCGGAGCAGGCTAAGTGCTGGTGTATAATCACTCCGTTTTTGTGTTAGGATCTTTGTACCAAGTCATCGCTTTTCCAAAGCCTAGTGATATTCAACTTTTCGTCTTGGGATTTACCTGGATAAAATTTGCATATTCAGCATTTCGGGCACCTGAGTGGATAATCCGTCAATATATCTGCAAGGCTCAGTAGCACCTAGAAAACATACACCGACCCGAATTATTATCAAAGATTGTGAGATTCAGGCGACATAACTTGGTATGCTTCAGGTTCACGAACTAAAAACAGACGTTGTAGAACGTCTGTTGTGTGAAGGGACCTCAGAATGCGGCTAGAACAAACTAGCTGGTAGTACTGACAGGCTTTAATTCTAACCACGGTTCAACAATGTTCAAGTCACTTCCAAGAGTATTCTAAACTGTCTCTTATGTGAAAGTAAAAATCTAGAATCTTTGGACGTACCTCACTGATCCATTTTTCACGTATATTTAATAGGCTATCTGGGGAGTCTATACTGAAGCACATGATGACCACATGTGTATCTGGGTAAGATAAGGTTCTCAGACGATCATAATCTTCTTGACCGGCAGTATCCCACAAAGAAAGTTCCACCTTAATGAATTCAGCTCGAGCGAAATTCCGTTTTACCTGCTTGCCATCGACCGTTATATCCGTAACAAAAGTATCAAATACTGTGGGTACATAATAGTCTGGAAACGTGCCTCTGCTGAACACAATCAGCAGACAAGTTTTCCCGCACGCACCATCTCCTACAATAACGATTTTTTTGCGCAGCCCCTGTGGCATTTATTTTTGGGTGTGAGGTGGGATAGGTTGTTAGTGCAAGCTTTTGAATCCGTATGCAATTCCACCAAACTTTACCCTAGCATCGGTACCACAGTTCGCACTCGAAAACTGCATGGTGATTCCTACGTGGCGCTTTTTGTTCAGGGTCATTTAGCTGCAATATTTCAGTTCGGTTATATTCAGCCACCGCAGAAAAATGATGTTAAAATGATGTTAAAGTTTTAGAAGTTAATCATTTTTTGAAGCTACTTGTCTGCCACACCCACTTTGGTAGAGAAATCGCGCGCCGATCAGAGGACAGCAGTTAGAGGTAGTGTTAAATAGCTATACGGAATGGCAATTTAGACGAGAACCACGGATTAACTGATTAATATACGGGATCAGGGTCAGCTTTACCGTTCATCTGGTTCCGTCCACATGAAAGGCACAGGCAGAGAGGGCGTAACACAGCCCTTAAAGTTTTCAGCGAGGGACATTAAGTTTGCGAGTGCTAAGACGCACATTAAATGCCCTGAACTGGGCATCAGATGCAGCATGAACAACCGTTTGACGAAGGTTATTCTACTCACTAACTACCCGAAGCGGAAAACCTTTCCCCACTAGACCTGTGAGCTCTGAGCCTGAAAATGTTCTCGCACTGTCCTTGCTGTGTGCCCATTGCTTCAACTGTGAAAGACCTATTTCACGAAACTTGTTCTAACAGCGCGCAGGTAAGCAATAGATCTTTAGGAATGACGATGCTCTAGAGAAAAGGTTCATCACTCCAAACCACGTTTAAAAATCAACAAATTCAACGCCGGCAATCATTTCTAGCACTTCTTTGAACATATTCAATGAGAGTTAAGTCCTTGATTTCCATATTCAGAAAGAGGTCGTCTTAAGGCCAATTAGAATATCCGGAAGCCCACGTGAGGAATGGGGGGAAGGTGCGCCGAATTGTACGTGGGAAGGGGAATGCCTTTTGAACCGATTTTTTTATGAATTGAAAAGGATCTATTCATTAATCGCTTCCAGCTGTCATTTTGGTCCAAACTGGCCTACGCGCAAAACACCATGAGACAAATCGTTCAAGAGATGCGGTACTGTGAATACAGTGTTAAAATAATAAAATGGCGCGAACAGCATATGGTGGGCCTATGGTGGCTTCCGTAAATCATTTTTGGAATATTTAGTCCCAAACAATTTCCCAAGGTTTGCACTGACCCATGGCAAAGTTGCCAAAAGACGGCGTAGCCCTTGTACTGGTTTGAAAAAGACTTACGACGACAATGTCAAAGAGCGCTTTGCGTTTGGACGAAAAAAGAATTGTGGTATGGGCACACAACGGAAACAGCAAAACTGGGAATTAGAAGAAAAGGACACACACTACTCCCCATAGCCAGCAAGTATTTCCCTGATCTCAAATAGCAATCCGCCGCATCCAAGATTGAGGTCAACGGGACAAGTACGCTGCTCTAGCCACAAAAGCCTGCCTCAATCCGTAGCACTCGCCTATGCTTTGTGAGCAAGTATCTAGCTTACATTACGTCTGGCAGGCAGCTGCGCTGTAAATCGTGCCTCATTTTCCACTAGCCCTTCCCGATTACGGCCGTCACATCCGTGCTTGCTTGCCACTGTGACGCCTTTTTCCTAATGTCCGCGACTTGGATTTTAGCTGTTGAATAACACAAGATCTTCATCTGGAGTATCCTGACGGTTTCCATACGTTTGTGCTATAAGCGTAATGGCAGAATATACTCATTTGACCATCGATCCTGAAAATATCAGCCAACATCTGCTCTTGTCTCAAACAATCGGTATGTCCTTCGCCTGTGTTGGGTACATCGCCTGATAAATCAGGTGAAAATAACAACTGACTCGAGCCAGCAAATTTTATGAATCTTGATCATCGCAGTGAGGGAAGGAGACGAAGATTCACAGTCTACACTCGTTCACGAGAGAGTGTGCTGTGCATTGAGTAGGCAGCTCACGCACCCATCCTTGGCACCCACTGTATTGCGTCATTTGGAGGAAAGTGCCAGTCAAGCGACCACTTCTTTGCAGCATCTACTTCCATTTGAAGGGCGGTGGCATTGGAACCCGGGGAATTTTAGTCATCCCCAAAGGGCAGGCGTGCACTTGCAAGCGCATCTGGAAGGTCGTTGACTTAGATCAGAAGCAGGAGTGGTGCACAAACGAAGCCTTGATGAGCTTCAAAGAACACACGTGCCTAAGAAGACTGGATCAAGCCTGTTTTCACAAGGAATGATTTGTCCGGTAGGAACACCTAAATCCAGCATGGAATTTTTCCTTGAACCTCAGACTCATGCTTGTGAAGCGACCGGACGTGTGGGATTCGATCGAAGGCTTGCACAAAGTTGTAGAATGCGACATGAGTCAAGTTGTTTATTGAAATTGAGCGTGTTCGTCACGCAAAAACGGTTTGAGAGGAACTGTCTTGCGTTGTCAATCTCACGCTTTTTGTGTTGAGATAATTTATGTTGGCTAGCTTCAGAATATGTTCCATCACCCTACACACCTGCTTGCGACTACCGGTTGATAAGCGGCCACCTCGCTTACTTTCAACCTGAGGCAAGGCTGCCTCCGACGAGCGACTGACAAAACTCCAAGTAAGAATTCTTACTCATCCGAAGTCCTTAGATGTGCCTCGTCTGTCCTCAACGCGCTGAAGGTGTTTGTCTTGAGCAAGAGTTGGCGAGAATCCCGCTCCGTGAAGATCAAATGGGTTACAAGCCGTTCGTGGTTGCGCCTCGACAAGTTAGGATGTTAAGACGCCGCTGCAACAGAACATATGCCTTCACAGTGCTCCTTGTAGGCTTATTACACCACTGTTGGGTCCCTCAAGGGGCCTCCAATAAGAAGTACTTAAGAAATACATTTTTGTTTTCCGGGGGGTGGCCAGTACTGTATTTGATGTTGGGGGATTACTGATTCATAGTTATCACGCCTCTTACGAAGTACCATCCCACATTGGTCTTTCGCTGTTATCTATTTAAAGAATAGTTTTGATCTCATTTCCAGAGGAAGCTCAGTCTTATGAGTGAGCTCTGATGGGTCCAAACTTGAAGCGGTTTCTTGAAACGTAGTAATATTTCTTCCTGTTTACCTCTTTCATTAGAGCTGGTCCAAGCTTGGGTTGTTCAAGGAGTATACGCATTCATCAGAGGTCCGCATGGCCAATGCTTCAGGTCCAATTCAGAGGTTCCGGTGCCTTTATCTGTAATAGGTGAATTCTGTCAACATACAGTAGACGCTATGAACCAATGGAAACTTAATTAATACTTGATTAACGAAGTGTCTTTTTTCGGTGACAACCACATCCAGCTAGAGTGGCAGCTGGCCTGCACGACGTCTGGTTGGTGCGACAGCATTTTGAGTCCAGTCGCTCTGTTGAACAACTTGGTCAGCACCGATGCTGTTCGTTTACCAGATCTGATGAGTTGGGATTGCTTCCAGGAGGACTTTGGGCAACAAAATCACCTAGAAGCAGGGGTTGTGTAACTTGGTGGCTTGTGGAGGGCTGCTTAGGTGGTTTGACGAGGACCAATTCTTTTTTCAGAGGATCTTATCAGTCACACGCATCGGGATCTGAACCCACAAAAGGTGCAGGAGTGGTGTCAAAGAGATCAGCCGGGTAGGCAGAGCTGCATGCACATATGGAGCCCCTTTTCTGCCATACCTGATGCGGTCCACCGAGTGTGGTGGTGTAATACCCTGGCCCTTGATTTTGAATAATTGGGTACAGCACGGGAAACTATTTCATGTTAATTTACATTAGTGTAAAAATTCAACTAAATGACACCTGTTAAATCTATAAGTAGAATAAACAGCTAAATAATTCATTCACAGTTTTGCACTTCGGCCGTACCATTCGCGGTCGGAAGTCCAGCCAAGCAACCAGGGAGACAAACAGACGGACGCGGTTCTCCAGTCATGTACCTAGTTGTTTGTTCATCTTTTTCGTTCGACCACCTGAACAATAGTTCAGTCAGGAAAGTTGTCGCTGATCCATAGAGAATGCTGTGACTTGGAAGGAATTTACTCTCGGAAGTGCATATGATGCACTATGTTCTGTGGATTATCAACAGGAGGAGAGATAAGCTGAGAAAAGCTGAGTGTATGGAGGATGGATGACATAAATTGTCAAGTAAACCTTTCACCAAAAGCCACTACGAGCGAGATTCATCTGGCATACCAACAGAAATATCAACAATAACATGGCAGTCGAGCTGCATTCTGCGCTGGTCCATAGCCACTTGTGATAGCAGCGATGTAAGGGTAATTTATTTAACTGATCCACAGTGCACAGTTGCAAACAGTATAAATCTTACCTTGTTGTGACTAGTTGTGTGGCTCCGCAACACATTGAACCATACAAAGAGTGTCCATTCGAGACTTACTCTCCAAAACAGTTTGGCTACCGGTTGGATATCTGAGAAATGCACCTTTCTGATCCGACAGGTTCTGGGTTTGAGCACATGCGGGTACCTGTATTGTGAGAGGCTAAATGCGCCTGCAGTTCTTTCGGATGCAGTCGCTTTGCAGCCAGCCATTTGAGCCAAAGGCTTTGGGTGAAGGCACAAATATTCTTCCTGCATAGGTTCGGTCGCCCCAGCAGTAACAAAACCCACGTATAACCATGAATTTACATTTACAATTACTCTCATTCCACATCAAACAGGTCGCTTTTCTTCATTCCAGTAGCAGAGCGGGTGAGCAAAACTAGGCTTCCACAGGTGCCTCCTTACTCTGCCAAACAACAGTGACTGCACTCTATTTGTATGGCTCTTAGCCGAAAATGAGGATTCAGTTTGTCTTGCACCGGTTTCGCAAAAAGCCGCACGTCATCCGAACCTAACAAATTCAAGGATCTCGAAAAAAATCATCCAACCCTGGAGTACGGTCTCTCTGTCTACCTACCATTTTTTCATTCTGAAGCAAGTAAGAAAACAAATTGGACTCGCTGGGCACCGAAGTGTATTGTGCATTGGGAACATTAGTTAAAGTTGAGAATGCAGCAGTTGAGCTAACTTCCGCAACACTCTCATCCCGCTTGAAGCTGCGCACCTCTGATGATTCAGAAGACG